CCAGCCTGGTCTACAAGAGCTAGTTCCAGGGCAAGCTCCAAAACTACAGAGAAACCCTGTCTCAAAAAAAAAAAAAAAAAAAAAAAAAAAAAAAAAAAAAAAAAAAAAAGAAGGTATAGACAAGGTCTCATTATGTAATCCAGGCTGGCCTCAAACTTTGAGACCCTTCTGCCTGAGCTTCCCAAATACAGAATTTTAGGTATGTGCTACAAAACCCTAGTTCTAGACAATATGTGCATTTAATAAAATCCAGGTGTTGGAACTGCATACCTATTCATCTCAGAATTGGTAATTATAGGTTACTTGGAATGTGAGGTCAACCTGGGATACATAAAACCCTGTATTAAAATGGAAACAAAAACAGAATGTCATTTCACTGATAACAAAATTTCCCCTTAAAAGCATATAAAATCAGTGGTTGAAAAAGCAGTTTGCAGGGGGCTGGCGAGATGGCTCAGTGGTTAAGAGCACTGGCTGCTCTTCCAGAGGACCAGGGTTCAATTCCCAGCACCCACATGGCAGCTCACAGCTGTCTGTAACTCCAGTTCCAGAGAAGCTGACATCATTATACCAATGTACATGAAATAAGGTTAAATAAAGTAGAAAGAAAGAAAGAAAGAAAGAAAGAAAGAAAGAAAGAAAGAAAGAAAGAAAGAAAGAAAAAGCAGTTTGCAGCTGGGCAGTGGTGGCCCATGTATTTAAACCCAGCACTTCAGAGTCAGAGGCAGGAGGATCTCTTAAGAGTTTGAAGTCAGCCTAGTGTTCATAGTAAACTCAAGGACAGCTAGGGCTACACAGAGAAAACATCTCAAAAAAAAAATCAAAGCAAGAGGGGACGGAGGTGGCAGCACAGGCCTTTAATCCCAGCACTCAGGAAGCAGAGGCAAGAGGATCTCTATGAGTTCAAGGCCAACCTGGTCTAGAGAGCTAGAGTTCCAACCAAGACAGAAAAAAAAACAAGGAAAAGAAATAAAAAAGCAAAGGGGGTTGGAGAGATGGCTCAGTGGTTAAGAACACTGGTTTCTCTCTCAGAAGAACCAGGTTCAATTCCCAGCACCCACATGGCAGCTCACAGCTGGAGCTGTCTGTAACTCCAGTTCCAGGGTACCCCACATCCTCATGCAGGCAAAACACCAATGCACAGAAATAAATAGTAAAAAGTAAAAATACAAAACAAAACAAAACAAAAGGCAGTAGGCAGTTCTGCAAATCTGAAATTTTCTCTCCAAGTGGTGGTGGGGCAGTGCATGCTTTAATCCCGGCACTTGGGAGATGATAGAGGTAGGAGGATCTCTGTGAGTTCCAAGTCATCAGGTCTACAGAGCAAGTTCCAGGACAGGCTCCAAAGCTACACAGAGAAACCTTGTCTTGAAAAGATTCCTCCCCCCCCACCAAAAAAAAAGAAAGAAAAAGTTGAGATTTTCTCAGTTCTTCATAATCTAGGAGATACAGCAGTAGCTCCTTTTGTAGAAAATACTATTTGTTTTTCACTTTCTTTTGGGGGGCAAAGGTGGTTACCTACCCATGCTGGCCTTGATAACAAAATAACAAGTTATTTCTGCCTCTGCCTCTGCCTCCAACATGCTGGATTCTAACCCTGCCAACATGGCTCTCTAGAAATTTTTAACTTAAATATCCAAAGTAGATTTTTACTTTTAGCCTTTAACAAGGTAGGAGTATGTAGACTTTCAAGAGAAATATGAAACATAACAGAGGAATGGGAAAATGGCTCAGAGGCATACAGCACTTACAGCACAAGCACAAGGCCCAGAAATCACGGTGTGAATTGCAGGCTACGAAGATCATCTAGTGGATAAAGGCGCTCTTCCAGAAGACCAAGGTTCAGTTCCCAACACCCACATGGCAGGCAGCTTACTGCAGTCCCAAGACCAGACTTCTAACCCCAGGTATTCATGTAGTGCACAGACATGCAAAATACACATATACATAAAATACAGTTTTAAAAACTTTAGAGCAGGTGTGCATGGTGGCCCCATCTTATAATATTAGTGCTTAGAAAGCAGAGATGGGGGAGCCCTGGGCAAGCTGGCCAGATATACATGTAGACCAACTGCTGGGCAGTGGAGGCGCACTTCTTTAATCCCAGCACTTGGAAGGCAGAGGCAGGCAGATCTCTGCGAGTTCGAGGCTAGCCTGGTCTACAAGAGCTACTTCCAGGACAGGCTCCAAAGCAATACAGAAACCCTGTCTCAAAAAAACAAAACAAAACAAAACAAACAAACAAAAAAAAAACATGTAGACCAACTGGCAGGTTTCCATTTAGTGAGAGACCTTGCCCTAGTAACTATGGTAACTGAAAAAAGCACCTGATTTCATCCTCTGACCTCCACATGCACACCTACACATATACATAAGACATCCCTCCTCCAAAAAAGCAGAAAAGTTAAATAAATTAATTTTTTAATGGGGAGGCGATATGTAAAGGTGTCTTCCTACACAAGTGCTCTTTAAACACTGAGCCATCTTCCCAAACTATTTTCTATCTTTTAAACACTACTTTCAAATAGGTATCCGGGGCACAAAATAAGCTAATGTTCTAATTTATTGCTTCAAGAAATGAGAAAGATACAAAACTCTTCTTCCTGTCACAATCTCCTAATCATTAAACTATTTAACCCAAGAAGATCATAACTCACAAATTACTGTAGAGACTGAATCAAACATGGTAGTTAATGTGCATATAATCCCAGTCCTGAGGAGGCTGAAGCAAGATATCACCTCAAGTTTAAGGCCTGTCTGGACTATACAATGACTCTTAATTAGGCTGGGCTTCAGAAGAGAGTTCATCTCAAAAAAAATAAATAAGAAGATACAGAGACTGCTGAGATGTGATCTTACTACTTCCAATGCTAAAGCATGCCTGGGTTACAAAGTGAAACCTGGTCTCAAAAAACTAAAGCCTAATAAATAAGTAAAATTAATTCACATAATTAATTTTGGGATCTGCAGGCTTATAACTAAAATAGTACCTTCTCTTTTATTAACAGGAAGCAATCACGAAGCGCCCCTGAAGTAAGAAGTAAAACTTCTGTAGAGAAACTCCTCACAGCCAAAAAAAAAAAAAAATTTCTAGTTGTCTTTTAGAGGAAAGCATCCACACATCCACATAGTCACAAAGACATATTCTAGATGGGCTGAGGGTATAGTTCAACTGTTAGAGCATTTGCCAGTATACATGATACCCTGGGTTCTATCCTCAGCATCCCATTAAAGTGGGCATGGTGGTGCGTGCCTATAAATCCAGCACTAATGAGGGAAAGGAAAGAAACAATCATTTATGTTCTATCCCCCAAAATAAGTAAATATATATAGGAAAAACATTCAGCAAAACAAATACACATGGTTTACAAGACAAAATACAGATTGAATTAATAACAGATTTCAGATTTGGGGAAATAAAAAGGACTAGGCAGTAAAAGAATTAATTGACTAAATTCTTATTTTCTTCTTGATACTTTTCTAAATTTCTCCACGATGAACATTACTTTTGAATTCTGAAAGTCTCATTTAAAAATATAAATCAGGAGCCGGGCAGTGATAGTGCATGCTTGTAATTCCAGCACTTGGGAGGCTGACTCAGAATCTCTGAGTTCCAGGCCAGCCTGGTCTGTCTTCTACAGGAAACGGTGGTCTACAGTTACGGTGAGTTCAAGACTGCCAGAAATACAGAGAAACCCTGTCTCAGAAAACCAGAAAATAAATTAATAAATAAACCAAGACCAGCGAGATTACTCAGTGAGTAAAAGTGCTGACCACCAAGCCTGATATGACCTGCGTTTGATCCTGAGAACTTACACCAACTCCTACAAGCTATCCTCTCAGCTGACTGTGCTCCATGGATATTCACACATGCCCCACCCCTAACACACACACACACAGAGAGAGAGAGAGAGAGAGAGAGAGAGAGAGAGAGAGAGAGAGAGAGAGA